ATATATATATATATATATGAAGAATGTATTTAGCCCTCAAAATATACGAGATAAAATGACAAAACAAAGAGAAAATAAAGACGAAAATACATGTTTAAGACAATAGAAACAAATGTAATTGTGACATAATCATAGACAAAAGAGGTTTTATTGAAATCTTATTATTATAATACTAGTTGACGTTTGATATAATAGCGCAAAACAATAGACTCTTCTTTTTACATTCACTCAATATTGAGAAGAAGTTTCTTTAAGATTTTTATAAAGGATTAATATAAAACTACCTCTAACTTTTATACGCACTAGTTTTTTTATTTAATGCAATATCATTTCTTGTCGATTTATTTTTATAATTTTAAAGAAGAATTTTATTTGAAATCTGATAAACATTCGTAAACGATTATTTTCTTATTGAAAAATTGAAAGAAAATCTAAAAAATAGAGAGATAATCATCTTTATCATCATTATTCTATAATCAATAAATCTTATTGAAAAATATGTTAAATGTTTGTCTTTGCATAACCTCTTTTTCGTCGATTTATACCTTATATTTATAATCAATATTTGTGCGTCAAATAAATATATTTAGTTATTTATTACTTCAACTTAGCAGTTAAAAATGCGTAAAAGTACATCATATTTTGCAATACGTCTTTCTTTTTTTTTTCTTTAGTCAAAAAAGGAGAAGATATACGAAATATAACTAGGATCAATCATTGATTATATTACGTACCATATTTGATTGATGTTATGCGCATCTTATAATTGACATACACAAATTATCCGATTATATGTCAATAGACAACATTAATCATCATAGACAAAAGCTATTATCATTATAATATCAATACAACAAAATAAGAATTGAAAATGTTTCATATTAAAGATAATCTTTTTACTATCACAATCCAACAATTCCATTAATAAAAACAAATCTGTTTACTTAAGTTAAATAAAATATTTTATTATTCTAACCAAAAAAACGAAGAACATTTATAAATTGAATGAAAGTATAAACAAAAAAATTTACAGAGAAAAGTTTTTCTATCTATCAATAAGAAGTTTTCGTCTAACATTTAATTCATTTTGTCCAGTTCTTGGATCAAATTCTCGATGAAAAGTACAATCAAGTGGTTCAGCTAACATTAATTCACATGTTGTATAAACAGTAAGAGAACGAACTTGACCACCAATTAATGAACCTGTATCAGGATCAGCAAATGAACCCATTATATAATGAGATTGTTTATCAAATGTTCCACTTAATGATACAATATCATATTTTTTTTTATTTAATTGATGTGAATTTAATGAACATTCTGATAATGTTCCAATACAACTTAAAATAAATAATGATTGAACACCAATATCTTCCATTAATTCATGAATTGTTGAGATTAATTCAACACCAGGACCAATACGAAGTGGATAACATTGAATTCCTGTACTTGCCGGAGCTTCTATTTATTTTAATTTATAAATAATAATTTAATTAGATTAAATTAAACTAAACTTACGACGAGGAGTTCGCTTTTGAGATTTTATTTTACGTTTACGTGCCAACATGCTATTTATTGTATTTGTTATGACAGGCATTTCGATTTCAGTTGTTACTAATTGCTTATGTTTTTATTTTGTAAATGTGTATGTTTCAGTAATGGTTAACTACAACTTATATACTGCTCAGTGAATCATGTACTTTAAAACAAGATAAGACGACATTAAATTTCATCATACACAGAGCACATGTACAAACGCCTAATACAAATACATCATTTTCCTATAATCAATAAATGTTTATGACTAATAATGGAAACATATGTTTTGTTGTACTTTTTTATAAAGACTTTTTAAAAAAGAATCTTTTTTTAAAAATGAATCAAATAAGAATAAAAATGTCATTCTTTTTTTCTTCAATAATTAAAACATTTTTTTTCCTTTTGATAATCTGATTATATTTTTTTTTTTTTTTCGTATGATAGAAAATAGGTAGGAACTATTAGACCGAAGCTTCAACCTTTGATGACATGACAGAAGAAATCAAAATACAAACGTACTTTGTGTAGACAAGTTAGATTTTAGAAAAATATTGTACTTTTTTTTGTTTTTGTTTGTTACATAAATAAGGAAGGTGAAGTATTATCTATCTAACAATCACAAGTTCGAAGTTTGTAGTTTTATAATAAGAAAAGTTTCCGATGGCTTTACTTTTATTGTAGACATAGAACAAAATCCCT